GAACAAGAGTGGGTGAGCCAATAAGATCAACTTCTTCTGTGAGTCAGCACGAGAAGACAATGGTGAGGGCGAGAGAGAATAATTAAGGACGATAGTGAGTGAGTGTGAGCAGATGTTCTTTGTGAGTGAACAAGAGACAACATTCGCGGAAGGGAGTGCGAGCGAAGGTAAACATATTTTGAGTTTTAAATTTTAATAATTAATTATTTCTAAATCTATATGTAAAATCAATAGGTAATTTTTTTCACTTACGTACCGATAATATCCTTTGCAAAAAGTCTCGATCTAACGTGCCAAAATCACATACAAATTTTATATACGAAAAATTAGTAGCAAACTTTTTTGGCATTACCTACACAAAAATCCATATGTAACTCAAATGTTCAAATCCTTTGATAAAATCTGTATCTAAGAACTAATTTATCTATGATTTTTATGTAATTATTTGTAGATAAATCACAATTTTTTTTTAATGTAAAAATATCACAAAACATGTACTTAATCGTTGTCAAGGGATATAATTAGCTTGAAGGCCTCAATTTCTTAGATATATTCGCTCGAATTGCTAAACTTACAATAGTTCACTTTCCTTTTGTTGTTTTCTAATTTCAAAATTGGAAGTCACTTACAATAGTTCACTTTCCTTTTGTTGTTCTCTAATTTCAAAATTGGAGGCCTCAAAACAACTTGACGTGAACAATGCATTCTTGCTTGACGATCTTCATAATGTTCTTTATATGTTGTTTATGTAAGACATTCGTACTACTTCTTTAAACCAAGTTTGCAAATTACAACATTTTATTAAAAATAAAAAAATTAAAATGAAAAAGTATTTAAGAAATAGTATTTTTAAGTTTAATTTTCATTTTTAACTTCAGTTTCCTTATTTTTTTGAAAGTCTTAAAAATTGTAATATAATAAGAAGTTCATTAAGTTGATTAAAATATTTCAAAATGAAAGTTTGTCTAATGTTTTTTAAAGATATTTGAAAATTTTAGAATTTGATAAATATGTTTAAATAATAGAAAAAATATATCAATATTTGTGTATCATATTTTATTTGACTATTTTATAAATTTATTTTTGTTTTTCGTTGTGAAGGAATTTTGAAATATTCTTCTATTTTAACACGATTATTCTTCTATTTGTTTTTCGTTGTTTTTTGTCTTTTACGTCGGATTCGAGATCGACGTCATATCAGAAGACGTTAAATTGACGTTGAACATATAACAATTCGACGTTAATAAAATCAACGTCAAATTTTATCAATATTCAACGTTAATCAATTTTTTTATATTTTTTTTAATTAATTGTGATCTTTTTTTACAACTCTACGAGATCTGAAAAATAGAAAAGCAACAAATTTCAGTTTTTGATATTTTATAAAGCATGAACTATGAATGTATCAACAACAAACAATAATAAGAAACAACGAACAAGTTCAATCAAACAACAACAACAACAAATAGGTTCAACCAAACAAAAACAACAAACAAGTTCAAAAAAAACAACAAACAAATTAAAAAAAAAACAAGTTCAACAAATAAGTTCTTCAAAACGAAAACGAAAACTAACCTTCAAAAGTGGGTTCGTCGAAATAAAGTATTGCCACCAGTGCGAGAGAAAGCAGAATGCGCCTATGAAGGACAAAAACACGAAAATAATCGATCAAAACAAATGAAAATCATACCTAAAGTAATTAATTAACATGCATTTGTGACAAATGAAAGAAAGATTACATGTGATGATCATCAAACTTTGTTCCAGAAAAGTTTGAGCAAAGAAGAATGTATCGCGCGCTAAGATAAAGTGAATGAATTTTCAATCTCCCGCTCAAATTTTTATTGGATTCACTAACCTTTTAACGTCTAACGTTGAGTCATTCGACGTTTTATATCCTTTTGACGCCAAATTCTCTAGCGAATTCGAGGTCACACGTAAATACATTTTTACCTTCGCGCCAAATATTTTCGCAAAATTTACCCAATATAACAAATTAACGTCGAATTACATTTCTAAAAAATATCACCGGTCATTTTTAACGTTGGTTATTCAGTGGTTGGACGTTGAACGCGTGACGTTATATGCTGTTTTTGCACTAGTGACATGATGAAATTGAGTGTTAAGTTTTTCTCTTAAAATTGCGTTTAATTTAATTAAGGGTTAAATATGTTTTTGGTCGTGAAAATTGGAATTAGTTTCTCTTTGAAATTTTTATATCCAATTTAGTTTCCGAATTTTAGAAATGTGTGGAGTTAGTCATCTTAAGTAAATTTTATTAAGTTTATTTGACATTTCAAACATGTTTCAGATTTTATTAAGTTTATTTGACATTTCAAACATGTTTCAGAATAATATTTGAGTTATTTTCGCTTTAATGTTAGTTGACAAAGAAAAGTGTTTGAAATGTCAAATAAACTTAACAAAATTTAGTTAAAAGAACTAAATTCATGTATTATTAAAGTTGACAAACAAAATTGAACTAAAGTTTCAGGAAAAAAACTAAAGCCGATTTTTATTAAAAATTAAAAAAACCAAAAACATATTTAATCTTTTAATTAATTAACAAAGTACCAATGGTGTGTGTCGATGTATATGTACATGAAATTTTATTTCTCTACTTTGATCTTTAAAATTATAATATGGGTTATCCACTGTAAAGTTATAATTTGTGAAACTTATAATTATGGTTAAACATTTTCAATATAAACATGTTCATGAAAAATTTCATGACAGTAAAATATAATACAGAAATGACGATATATAAAATACTTATCTTTAAATATATAAATATTATTTTAATTAATCTTAATTTGTTTCATAATTTTAAAACTATTTCCTTACCGGGGACAAATATGGAAATAAGCATAAAAGAGGACTGCTTTTTTTCCTGCACCCCATAATTTGTTGGTGCAGTTTTCAAAATTTTAAAACGAACAGTTTACCTTTTTATATCATAAAGGTGATTCTTGAATTACTTACTCTAAGCTTTTGAGAAGTTTTAAAATATGATTTCTGAAATGAAATTTCTAAAACAGATGTTTTAAATATAATTTTCGAAATGATATGAAATTTTCAAAAATGTATGAAATATTTTTTAAAACAACTCTTTTATAACAGAATGAATTTTCTGAATTGAACTTTTTGAAACAAACTTTCTAGATGAATAATGACAGTTTTTTCTAGAATGTATTTTCTTTCAGTTTCTAATATATATATTTTTTCTGTTAATGTGAAATGCAGTTAGTAATAATGGGGATGCAAAAAGGAAAAGCCTTAAATATTTAGTTATATTTCTCCTAGTTATTGCAATTGGATATTACCGACACAAAGGTAGGGTGTTGTAGCCTTTTCTATAATGAGGGAGTACAAGTAGGTAACACCTACAAAACAGGTAATATGAAAATATAGAAGGACTTTATAACTAATATGAAATCCTTGTTTAATGCATCCATTACTCTACTATTTGACCATTCAAACCATTTTCTATATTATAGAGAATTCAGTTACATTTCTTAATCATTTATGTCTCCATTCAAATAATATCATATAACGTAAGTATCACACAAACTTAATTAATATCACTTGCTAGTTGTTTTTATTGTTTTTATTGGAATTAGTCTTAGTTTCGAGATAGAATGAGATATTTTTAATCATCAGATATCTTTGATAAAAAATAATGTGTTGATAGGAGAAAAAAAAAAGTTTATCCGTAAAGACTTTTACATTATACAAAAATAATGTTCAAGAATAATTATAAAAGAATTCACACAATGAATTCTATATAGTACTTTTACATTATACAAAAAAGGTAAAATTTTGAAATGCTATCATTAAATTATCTCCAAATTGTATTGTGAAAAATGATGTTCGATTATTGTTGTGTGTGAACATCTTGTTTTAAATTAATGGGGTTACAATATTACATGTTACAAGTAACATAAATATCTAATACAGTGAAATGTGAACTTTGTGGAGACCAAAAGTAATGTAAACGGTTTTCTAGAATCTGTGATTTTCAATTTTTGTTATTATACTATACACTAGTTAAGCGCAAAGTAACTCAATTTAATTTTTACATTCTTCTTATTATATACATATAATGATTTATTCATTAGAAAATGATCTCTTCCGGAAAACAAGAGAGTAATACAGTTTTAATATTTATACAAACATAAAGATAACATAAATGCTTCGGGTATTTTTTTGCGTTTCGAAAAAAAAAAATTATTTGACACACCTAAATTTTTTTATACATTATCATTTTTTTTTTATTTTTTTTTTGAAAAAAATATAAAAATTTACACTTTTTATAACTATTTTATCTTTTTGTATTCTGTGTTTAATGAATATAAAAATGTGTCATATTGCTCAAAAATATCCAATGTAGAAGGAGATTCAATTGATCCGATAGGATTTTGGAAACAGATTCAGTCAAAAAATAATAAAAAATTTTTTAATTCAAAGTGGCATAAATAATATCTTCAACTAAAAGCTTAACTTGATAAGATTATAAATTATTTTACGTATAGATTACTTAACTTTCTTGTTTTTATTTTTTCTTCTTTTATAATAAAAACACTTTTTTGCAATAATTTGTTAAAGATAGGTCTAAAAATTTAAAAATCACGTTTGTTAGTACATTGTTCTCTGTACAACTATTTGAAAACAAAAAATACTAGAAATAAAATGAGAATTTTATAATAAAAGTTGATAATATATAAGAAATAGAAGTACAAGTTCTAATCCCAGTAATAAATAAGAAGCTATATATTTCAAATTGGCAGAAATGTTGAAGAAACCATATTAATTACATATCTAACCATCTCTAGCTGCACTTCAATGAATCCAACCTTTTGCATTTATGTTTTTGACGAATGCCACGGTTTTCAGAAGAACACAGAACCTTGAATTAAAGAGCACTAAAGTAGCCTCCTAAACTAGTAAGAGCTATCAAATCCTGTGAAAAAATGTTCATTATATAAACACTTGAACCCTTTGAATTCCTCCATCCACACATCAAAACCTAGCTACTTCTAAAATTTAGTTATCTCACCAACCCCACATTCAAAGCTTCATTTTCAATATGGCAGTCTTGTCAAGTTTTTCTCCTTTGGCCATTCTTAGTTTTGTTCTTGTAATTGGAATCATTGTGTCTGGTGCCGAAGCAAGGCCAAGGGCATTCTTTGTGTTTGGAGATTCGCTTGTTGATAATGGAAACAACAATTACTTGGCTACCACTGCACGAGCTGATGCTCCTCCTTATGGCATTGATTATGCTCCATCTCACAGACCAACCGGTCGTTTCTCCAATGGCTACAACATTCCTGATCTTATCAGTTCAGTTTACATATCCCTCTCTTCATTTTTATCTTAGACATTCCTCCTTGGTGTAATGTAGCAGAAAATGTCATAGTTTTGCATATAATATAACATAACAATGACAGTATGTATAACTATGTGGTCTGTGTTCAGGTCAGAAACTTGGTGCCGAGTCTACATTGCCGTACTTGAGTCCAGAATTAAGAGGAAACAGGCTGCTAGTTGGTGCCAATTTCGCTTCAGCCGGAATTGGAATCCTTAACGACACTGGAATTCAGTTTGTAAGTTCACTTGTTGCTATTTTCGTATGATGTTTTGTTGAAAACCTGAAGCTAACAGAATATATTGCAGGTGAATGTGATCAGAATGTACAGACAGCTGGAGTATTTTAAAGAGTACCAGAACCGAGTGAGTGGTATAATTGGAGCTTCACAAGCTAAGAGCTTGGTGAATCAGGCACTGGTTCTGATCACTGTAGGAGGCAATGATTTTGTGAACAACTACTACTTGGTGCCGAATTCAGCAAGGTCTCGCCAATACCCACTTCCTCAGTATGTGACATATCTGATCTCTGAGTACCAGAAACTTTTGCAGGTAAGAAAGAAAAGGGTTATGACAAAATATTAATAACGTGTTTTCATGAGTTTTTGTCTGATGGTGAATCATAAATGCCTACTGCAGAAACTGTATGATTTGGGAGCTCGCAGAGTTCTGGTGACAGGCACGGGACCCTTGGGTTGTGTTCCTTCGGAATTGGCTCAACGTGGCAGAAATGGACAATGTGCTCCTGATTTACAGCGAGCTGCTGCATTGTTTAACCCTCAGCTGGAACAGATGTTACTGCAACTCAACAGAAAAATCGGAAGGGACGTTTTCATTGCTGCAAACACTGGAAAAGCGCACAACGATTTCGTTTCTAACCCCCAACAATTTGGTAATACATCATCGTCACCATTATCAATCACCTCAACTATTTTTCTAATAATGCTCGCAATTCACGTCGTTAATATATATCAAGCCCCAACTATAGTTCTAATCATAAAATTAAAGATTTTTTTTTACTGAATAAACTTTTTTACTATAATAGAGAAGATAGATCATCACCTCCAACACAAAATTTTAATATTCCATTACTATTTATATATATCATTTAACTTTCTCATTTTCAGATGAAATTTTTAACTTATATTTAAATTCATAAAATGAAAAAATAATAATTTAAATATGTATTTTGAATAAAATAAATTAGTAGTTAAATGCGTGAAAGTACATCATTATAGTCATTGAGACCATTTTCTCAATTATTTCTTATAGTTGAGTTTCAAAGAGACCATTTTCTACGTACTTAAATGTAATTTTAAGGATAATTGATACTAAATAGAACATTATTGTATCTCTAAGCTACAATATTTAAGAATTATAATTAATGTGAATATTTTACATATTTAAGAACTAAATCAAAAGTTTTTATTTTTTAACAAATTAAATTGATAGTGTTTCATACATGAAAAAATGAAATACTCTTTTAGAATTAACCCCATCTATTTAAAAAGACGAAGACTAAAATCAAATAGCACAAAAACTTCATTGATCAAACATACATTTTCTCTTCCCTAAAACGATGTTCACCATTTTGATACCACCATGGCTGTCTTCAACTAAACACATCCTGTAATGGCTGTCTCCTTTGTCTTAAAAGTAAAAAATATCACCTCATTGAAAATATTAATAACTTGGATAAATGGTATTACATACCTTTTACTAAAAGTGGTATAAAATTAGAAGAAAATGTAAACAAAAGTATATCTATACGAGAATTGAATCATGAGATTTGGCATGATTTCTTTAAATGGTGCTGCCATAAAGAAATTATGAAGCAATGACTAACATTTGTGGTGTTAATTTATGTAGGATTTGTTACTGCAAAGGTAGCTTGTTGTGGACAAGGACCCTACAATGGTCTTGGATTGTGCACACCACTCTCCAACCTGTGCCCTAACAGAAAGCAGTATGCATTTTGGGATGCATTCCACCCATCTGAAGAGGCCAACAGACTTATTGTGGAGGAAATCATGTCAGGTTCTAAAGCTTACATGAACCCTATGAACCTTAGCACCATCCTAGCTTTGGATGCTATTGCCACATGAAGATATACAATAAATCCTAACACTTGTATTGGCCTTCCATGCTAGTTTGTGACATCTCTCTTTCTATATTTATAGTGTTGTAATTGTTATTCCTCTGTATAAGTGAGGAACAAAATTTAAGGAAGCAAAAACTTCTATTAAGTAATAATGGAGGATATGATGCAATCACTTAAAAGCAATAGCTTACGTACCCTCGTTCTTTTCTCCTTTCACTCAGCCACAAATTATATATGCTTCCCTTGTGTGTTGGGACAGGTACTTCCAAAAAGGACTTCTTGTAAAAGCAAAGAAAAGACAAAATATAAAGTTAATTAAGAATAACCGGTTGAAATATGTATGTGATTGTAGAAATAGTTCGCAGGGTATATCGCACGTTGTCGATTGTTCGTTTCAATTGAGTTAGAAAAAAAAAAGAATAAAAGATAAAATATAAACTTAACGAAGATTAATAGGTTTAAAACAAATATGTATGTGTCAAACTGATACAGGATATGAGTTAGCGGGAAAAAGAAACCACGTGACTCTAACAGTATACATTTCTTTCATTACCTGGCAGTAGCAGTGATGTTCGGGTTTTGTACAAGTTAAAATAAATAGTAATGCTTAGTTAGTTTCATGGATATTCATTCATTGGGTTGTAAGAAATCAGATTTCCCTGTAATTCTTATTCTTCACTAGTAAAAAAACAAGATTTTAACTCGCGCATTTGGCATCGGTTAAGTTGTAACCGAAGCAAAAAATAGCACGGTGGCATTTTTGTAGTTATCACAAATGAATATGCCTCGGTTCAAAAAGAACCGATACCTAAAACTGGTGCGGTGGCATTGTTGTAATTATCGCGCAAGGTATATGACTCGGTTCAAAAAGAACCGATGCCTAAAACTGGTGCGGTGGCATTTTTGTAAATATCACGCAAGGTATATGCCTCGGTTCAAAAAGAAACGATGCCTAAAACTGGTGCGGTGACATTTTTGTAATTATCGCGCAAAGGTATATGCCTCGGTTCAAAAGGAACCGATGCCTAAAACTGGCGCGGTGACATTTTGTAATTATTTTTTTATTTTTTTGAGAGCGTTTAGGCCTCGGTTCTTTATAGAACCGAGGCCGTAGACCCTTATTGCCTCGGTTAAAAAAATAACCGAGGTAATAACATGTGTTTAGGGTTAAATTTCGCAAACAGAGATAGAAGTTGCGCCGCTCTTCTCTTTTCTCCCTTTTTCTTTTGTTTCCCTTCCTTCCTCTTCTCTGCTCTGATGGAGGCGCGACGAAGGATATTCAATGGCATGATTGAGGCGCGGCGAAGACGCAGTGGGGGCGCAAGGGCGGTCATTCTCGTTCTTCTTCTCTTTGTTCTGATTTGCAGGGAAGGAGGAAACTTCCTTCCGTCTCCTTTTTCTAATTTTGTTTGGGTTGTTTTATGTTTAATTGATGCTTTGCAAGAGTGGTGGAGTTTGATTCTCTGCAGGTGGTGGTGGGAGCACGTCATTCTCGTTCCGATTCGTCTAGGGTTCCGATTTCAATTTTTGGATTTTTGATTGGAGTTTCTGCTTGAGTTTTCTATTGGATTTTTGATTGGAGTTTCAATTTTTGGATTTTTGATTGGAGTTTTTGAGTGGCGGCAGAGCTGAGACCTCCAGGAACAGAGGAAGAGAAGCTGGTGGAGAATCATTCTTGTTTCACTGAAAATGTGGAATTGCGTTGTTGTGTTGGTAGCTCTGAAAGTGGGAAATCATGCTGGTGGCAGTGGAAGATGGGTGATGGCAGTGGAAGATGGGTGATGCATAAGAACAAACATCAACAACATCCTGAAGCTTAAAAAAAAAAACAAAACAAGTTACTGCCTCGGTTACGTAAAAACCGAGGCATAAATCCTATTCTTTTTAACTCAGTTCACGACCGAGGCATAAAACCTACCCCTTTTTACCTCGCCGGTATATGCCTCGGTTGTAGAACCGGTGCCTAAAAGCAAAAGTAACCGGTGCAGTATCCTCTTAGTGTACTAGTGCTTTCAAATAAAATTGGAATTCACTTTTTAAACTTCTTGAATTCCTTTTTTTTTTTCCTTCTTGTTTATTTGAATATCCTATTATTTCTAGTTTCGTTTACATATAGAATCTCACCTTCCAATTCAAGATTTCATAGTTGATAATATCAATTTTCAAGCTGTAATACGCGATTGAGTCGTCTTGATTTTGGAAGATTTAGTGGTGAAGGTATAAAAAATTGGCTAGTTCATATGAAACTTTCTTTTCTGTTGACAACACCCTCAATGAGTATAAGGTGAAATTGGCGGTGATATGCTATTACTACCATTGGGATCACCAGTGGGGGAAACAACAATGGTTATTTTCGCCCATAGGCAACGGTTCCTGAACCGAAGCATATATAGGCGAGGCAAAAAGTCTACTCTCTTATGTTTCGGTTCTGAACCGAGACATAAAGGGGTAGAATTTTACCTCGGTTCAAAGGTAACCGAAGAAGTAGAGTTTTTGTTTTGTTTTTTTTTTGAACGACTTTACGCCTCAGTTCCTGTTGAATCGAGACAATATGTTTGCCTCTACTGCCTCGGTTGGGACCTAAACCGAGACAATAGAATGTTTTTTTTTTTTTTGCTTTTTCGTCAGACTTTTTGCCTCGGTTGTGACCTTAACCGATGGCATAGGGGGGCTTTTTGCCTCGGTTATGGTCATAATCGAGACGTATTCCCCTAATTTTTTAAAGAATAAGTCTGTTTCTACAATATTTCCAACTACAGAAACAGACCTGCATATAATTTTACAGCCAAAACAGTTCAAAACAATCCAGAAGCATATATTTTCAATAAAAATTATATTAAAAAATAAATGCATTCAATGTAATCATAAATCAACTTCTTAGAAGCATAAATAATTCAATGTAATCATAAATCAACTTTGAAGCATAAATCAATCCAATATACAAAGTTAAACTAATAATAATGTACAAAAGCATAAAACAATTTAGAAGCATAAACTTAGAACTTACTATATCCTAATATCTACTACATACTATTATATAGTTGAATTAGATATTTAGCTAGTGCTTTCCTCACAAGTTTAAATGACTTCTCTGGAATTAGAGTAGTCATATTGAATCTCTACATAAAACACAATGATTTCAATTAGTGTATATGAAATCTAAACTATAGAGAAAATAAAATTCAAACCTAAATATTACCGTTTCCCATCCATTGGTGTAATGTGCACGAATAATGGTCATCATCCAATACATGACGTAGTAACCACATTCATATGACTCGTTTTGTCTATTACACTACAATATATCATCATAATTATAAAATGTTAAGTAACATCATTGGAATGGTACAAAATGTAACAAAGTATGGACTAAAATACCAAACCTTAAGGGTCATCCATACAAGCTTTTTAGCTGTAGCAGATCTCCGAGACAACATTATATGCGCTGCAAGGGAACTATTAAAAAAAATTGCTTTAGCATACATTTATATAACAAAGAAAGTTGAAACATTGAGATTCTTACCAATCTACTACTTGTCTAAGAGGGCCGGAGGGGACTTCTACAATAAACAAAACCAGACAACAATGTTCTGTAGTAAGGAGATCACAAGTAGCTCCCAATGACGCCTGAAATTGGTAATAACTTAATTGTCATATACTAAAATCATAAGTGAAACATTAAAGTTAACAAACTTCACTTACCCAAGTATATAAGGGACAAAATATATCTCCTTCCCCATTGCAAAGTAGCTGGTGATGTATGCTTGCATGTCATCAAATCTATTTCCTTCATGAGTCATATAGGGGTCAATGAACCCATATACATCATTGAACCCCATCTTGTTATTGACACCAAACATATACTTGAAATGAAGAAATGATCTGATATAAGTAACTTGATAAATCAATTTTATATAAAAAAGTTCTCATAAACTTACATCATCCACAACTGAACTAGTGTAAAATTAATTTCTTCTCTCCCCGACGCAAGCTCCCTAACATCTTGCTGATGCAAGTACAATGGGATGTCAACATCTCTTCCAAATGTATTAAAATCTCATGGTACAATCATTGGCGCATCTGCAATGATGTTAAAAAGCTCGTCTAACGCACTAGGAGGATCGTCCTCAGATAAATGAGTCTTTTTCAGTGTAAGACTTCTCTCTTGACCTGTCTGCTATTACATGAAAAAATGGTTATGTTCTGACGTCAATAAGAAGTAAATATTAAAATTGAGAAGTATACAGTAGGAGTGTTTACCGGGGGGTCAGATACAACACCAACCATATGTCTAGGCCAGGCGACGAAGGACTGAAATGCATGTACCACAGTGAAAAACTCCTTTGTGGGCATAGGAAGAAGGGCATCTGATACGACAAATTCATCCACCGTGACCTTGACCTCATCTTCTACTAGCTCTACACCATGCACTACAATGGCTGCCTCATAGGTTGTGCCACATAGACCATTATATGTTTAGTTTATTAAACATATAAATTTTAAACAACATATCTAAAATTTCACAAAAATTTGCCAGCATTTCGCATTGGTCTTCAGGTTACACGAAATGAAAGTGATTATAAAATCACAATTAAATATGCACCCGAAGATCAATAAAACACAACTGCAAATTTTCATGAAATTTAAGATATGTATATTAAAATTTATATGTATTAATAAACTATGAAAAAATTATCACTTTTCTTAAACTGTCCAACTGGACAATTCAAGATTCAATACTTATAAATTATTATTACCATCTCTTTATTCATTTGTAAAAAGTACATTTGTTCAAAAAAAGTCTGGAGATAGTAAATAATTTTTGTATTGAATCTCAAACGGGAAACTAAGGCTAATTCACAACAACAATATATTCAAGCAAACAAATAATTACATAAGCAACATACAATATATTAAACCAAACAATATATTCAAGCAAACAAATAATAACATGTTCATATTAAAAGGAAAAAATTAAGAATAGGAACCTGGGAGCGTGAAAGCCGGTCAACAATGAAGAATGTTCCTCACCACAAAAATATAATATTTAGACAAAAACAAACAATACATTAATTAGCCTCATGATTCCTATCCTTCTTAAAGTTTATTTTATCACCATATCAACCAATGTAATACAAACAATTCAAAATATTATTCTCTAATTTGCATATCTTTAATTAAAAAATATAAACCAAAAATATATTCCCTAATTCTATATCCCTAATTTCTATATCCCTAATTCGAAAGTATCCTTAATTTCTATTTCTCTAATTTCTATATCCCTAATTTCTATATCCCTATCTTCAAAATTCTATTCACCTTGCATGGATGATCATTAACAAACACTACCATTGTTATTTTCCATCAATCTGAAAATGAAAAAAAAGAAGAAAATGAGCAAGCAAAGAGAACTTATTACGTGAAGAAAGGAGAACCGTGGCTGCCACGTGAAGAGAGGAGGCGCAACGACGGAGGCAGAGGTGCTGCGAGGAGGGAGCGCGACTGCAATGGTGTGGAGGCAGCACGCTGGCGATAGTGCGGAGGGAGCGCGACGGCGAGGCAGCGACATTGTTGCGTGGAATAAGGCACGAGAGGCAGCGCGAGACAATGTGAGGCTGAATCTTGCGCGAGAACACCGACGGTGTGGTGGCGGTGTGGTGGCGACGGAGCGACAGAGTGGTGGCGACGGAGACGACGCTGTTTCGAGGGCGGTTGGAGAACAATAGTGGGTCCCTAGCAAACCGATGCAATACTGTGCACTAGAGCGTCCCTCCAATTGGAATGTGAAAGCTCTTTCTGCCTCGGTTTTGTAGATACCCGAGGCAGTATCCTTGTTAATCAGAGAAGTTTCTGATGTGCAGCTGATTTATAGAGGACCTAATCTACAGTTTACGCCTCGATTCTGAGTGTAACCGAGACAATATATGAATTTCAAAAAGTATGTTAGCATATATAAGTGATAGCAGGGTGAGTTGGCAATACTTTATGCTTCGATTGCTAATTTAACCGAGGCAGTAGACCTTTTTTCGCTTCGGTTCCTTGTGAACCGAGGCATATAACTTTTCTAAAACTACGAAAATGCCACCACACTTTTATACGCTTCGGTTTTAGTGAAACTGATGCGTATATAACGTATTAAAAAACCTTTTTTTTACTAGTGGATGTTGCGATCTTGTATTAGGCATCAAATGTTTAGTTGCCTTAGGTGATATCACATGGAATTTTCATAAGTTGACAATGGAATTTATTGTAAAGAATAAGAAACATGTTCTTCGTGGTGCTTTTTTAGGGGGAATTAGAACCATTCGAAAACAACAATTACAAAAGACAATTTCCAATGCAGTACACTTATCCATGCTTAGTAATTGAGAGGTTGGCAACAATTGTATCTTGAATTCTCTAACTATACACATGCCTTTCAACCTAGCATTCATATAGAATATGAGAAACTTTTGCTTGAATTTGATGATGTATTTCAAATGCCTACGAAATTGCCTCTTAAATGACCAGACCATGGCCACAAAATTCATTTACTTTAGGGTGTTAATCCTATCAATAAAAGACCTTGTAGGTATGCTAAACAACAAAAAAATGTTATTGATTGGTTGATCAAAGAATACTTACAATCCAAAATAATTCAATACAATAATAACCCTTATATGAGCTTGATAGTCTTGGTGGGAAAGAAGGATGGAAGTTGGAGATTATGTGTTGATTATAGAGAATTAAACAAAGGCACAATTAAAAACAAGTTTTCAATCCCGCTTGCGGAGGACTTACTAGATGAGTTGCATGGCTTTTTCTGAAGATTGACTTGAGAGTTGGGTATAACCAAGTGAAAATGGAGGAGGAAGATGTATACAAGACTAAATTTAAAACTCATTGTGGACAATATGAATATTTAGTCATGCCTTTTAGACTAACAAATGCTCCTGCCACTTTTCAATGGTTGATGAATTCTATTTTTCAGGATTTTTTAACAAATTTTTTACCTGTGTTTTTTGACGATATCCTTATATACATCAGGTCTCCTTCTGATCCTTCTATTCACTTGTCTAAAGTGATACACATTATAAGAAGCAATTTATTATTTTCAAAAGTATCCAAGTGTTATTTTGATGTGTATAAGGTTGAATATTTGGATCATTTTATTTCAAAACAAGGAGTTTCTACTGATCTCTCAAATATAGACCGGTCCCTTAAACAATTACAAAGTTTTTTACGGATAACTGGATACTATAGAAGATTTGTGTCCAAGTATGGTACCATTTTTAAACCATTGATTGATATGTTAAGAAAGGATAATGAATTTTCCTGGAACACTCAAGCAAAGAAGGCTTTGCACCAGTTGAAACAATAGTTGATCCAAGCCCTAATACACTCTTTACCTGACTTTTCTAAGGAGTTTGTGGTTGAAGTAGATGCTTCTGGGTTGGGTATAGGTGTTATACTTATGTAGGATCATCATCCAATTACTTTCATTGGTAGGAGTTTTAACAAACAAAACCAATCATTTTCCACCTATGAGAAGGAACTTTTAGAAGTGGTGTTAGATGCTAAAATATGGTGACACTATTTAATTAACAAAGGGTTTACTATTAAAACTGATCATCGCAACCTTAAATACATTTTGGACCAAATACTTACCACTACTTTTCACCAAAAGTGGTTGGTCAAATTGATGGAATTTGATTTTCAGATTGAATATAAGCAATGACAAGAAAATGTACTAGCCGATGCCATATCCAGTTTGAATATTCCTCACTGTCATGCCTTAACTACTCACCAACCTGATTCTGATATGTACATTAAGATCCAACAATCTTGGCAATCTGATCTTTCCATTCAGAAACTCATTATAGATCTAGAATAACAACTCAACAACTCTTCTCACAAGCACTTCACTTGACAATAAAATAAACTCAGGAGGAAAGGTAGATTGGTGGTTGATAGAGATCTATAGCTCAAGAAAGAGATTTTATGATGGATGTCTGGTTCTATTAGTGGTGATCACTTAGGACGAGATGTCACTTTACAAATAATTAAATTAGTGGTTTATTGAAAAGGATTTAAAATACCTAAAAAACACTAAAAAGTTGAATAGTGTTATTGAAAAACTTTTCGAAAAAGAGATAATATATAAATGATATACGATTTTAAATAAATGTAAAACTATAAACTTGGAGGTGAAAAAAGAAAAAACTTGGAGGTACAGTGAGAAGTACCATTTTTGTAAATGGTAGAAATGTTGAAATATTGAGTTCTTGTTTTCACTAAAATTTTAGATGAAAATTTTGTAGTTTACTGAAAAGTGTATGATTTATATGTAGAGTTATGATATAGCTAGTATAAAATGTAACTTACCCAAATCGGCTTCTAGTACCCAGTTTTTTTTTGTAGTGATTTGAAAATTTTAATTAACTTCATTTTTAAAGGATTTAACTTTCTAATGATGTTAATTACGAGAAATTTACTTATGAATTTTTTACTGTATAAATGAATTTTTACAGTAGATAATTGTCTTATATTTTGTAGTATGTATAGAAACATGGCTTTATATAGAGCAATAAACATCAGAAAACAGAAAAATACAAAATAAACTAAAGGGTGCAAAAATAGAGTTTACATAACATACACAAGATTAAAATAGAGAAATTGCATTTTATAATGCATGCTGTATATGCTGATGGCAATATTTTATTTCATATTATTTATTTTTTCTTTAGAGGACAATAATTCTGTTAGTGGGCCTTGCAAATAAATGTTTTCGTGATACTGAATCAACAAATTTAACATTAGACTATCATTATGTGGTTTTTAGTTAATTTTTTATAAAATGTTATAAAATATTTATATTAGTAACATTTTTATATTGTTTCTTTTATAAAAAAATATTAGTAAAACTTTTTAGTAACAATTTTAAAATGTCTCTATTTAAAAAAAAATTACTAAAAGATTCATAGTAAAAATTTTATAATATCACTTCTTTACAAAAAAAAAAAAATTACTTAATATGATTTAGTAGCATGTTTTTAATATGTTATATTTTCATTAAATAATGTTATTAAAAGTATCTAGTAACATTTTTATAAATGTCTTGATGTGTAAAAATGTCACTAAAAGTCATTAGTAACATATGGCATAGTTAACATTTGATATGATGCTACTAAATGATATTAGTAACATTCTTAATTTAGTAATATTTTTCTATTGTTACTAATAATAACATATGTAGTAGTGATATTTCTAATCAAGCTCCTTCTCTATGTCTCTAGTGATCAACAAAACAAATAATAATTTAATATGTTTTATACTTTACATTCTTTTTGAAAAATTAAACAATAACGAACTAGAATAAAAAATAATATTTATTTATAGAAAAATTAGTTAATAAGATTTAACTAAAACACATGTGAGTAACAAACTCTCCACAACATAAGCAGAGATCAAAGGTTGGTATGTTCTTTTTACCATACATGTTGGGCCTTTTGATCTCATGTATATAAATTAATGTGTTAAGTGATTAATACTAGGTCATAGATGCATCTAGATTGAAGTAATGGAGAAGAATGATTTTACAAAGAAGGGTGAAATGCCAATGAATCTCAACATTGAGGACAAGCATACGATAGAATCCACTGACTCCAAAGCTCCAACAACACCTAAGCAACCTTTTTTCATTGGTAATAAATAAATAATATTTAGTGTTTTTTAGTTTTCAAATTTCTCTAACTTTTATTTTATTTTCATAAAAAAAAATAGGTGTTGCTGGTGGAACTGCATCTGGAAAAACAACTGTTTGTAATATGATAAATACCCAACTTCGTGATCAACGTGTTGTCCTCATTAGCCAAGTAAAAAATTCTCTATAATTACAACAAAAACAAGTTTGAACAGTTTTTTCGTGCTAATTTTATTGATAATTATGGCGTTGATTTGTCTAAATATAAATAATTTTTTGTTTTAAATTTTAGGTTATAATTCATTTACATGTGCTACAGGATTCGTTTTATTACCCACTGAGTGATCAGACACTGCAAAAGGTTAATGAGTATAATTTTGATCATCCTGGTGAGTACATAGTGAATCAAATTTTTGTTTTTTAGCACACTAATTTCGAAATTTGATACATAATTGATTTAAAATATAAACCAGCATGAGAATACTTGGTGTTGTTGAATTTTCAGATGCCTTTGATACGAAGCTTTTGCTCTCAACAATGGAGAAATTAAAATGTGGACAACATGTTGATATACCTAATTATGATTCCAAAAACCATAAGAGAATTGAATCTGCACGTCAGGTATTATTAATATGAATTTTGGAAAATCAGAAATATATAAAGAGATTTAATTAAGTGTTTAATTTGTTCTTTATAATTGTCAATTGCCTTATTGATATTGTGATTCATCATAATTACACTATATTGTTAATGCAAATCCTATCATGATGGATGCACTCAATGGGTTTACATTTCTTTCTCTTGGTCAATTAGGTTCATCCTGGAGATATCATAATCTTAGAAGGAATATTAGTTCTTCATGACTCAGGTGTTCGTAATCTTTTGAACATGAAGATCTTTGTTGACGAAGGTTAGTTATTTTTAATTCATTCTTAATTCATTTTACAGAATTTAAGTGTAAGTTTAACTTTCTTATTAGATACAAATACGAAAAGATAATCAATATAAGAATAAAACCTCAAAAATTCATACTCTTAAGATTTTGGATTGAAAGTTGGTTTGATTCTAAGTATGTGGAGTGACATTATTAGAGTCAATCACCATGCATATGAGATATTGTTTGCTTTCAAGCATGGAACTCCATCATGGTTTTATCCTTAAAAGGTGCCTTAAAAGGTGGAAGGAGTATTTAAATTGTCTCGACTCCTAAGCGATGTGAAACTATTAGATGTGGTAGGAACATAAACCCCTTACTTGAGGTCTAAGAAATGATTCATCCCCAATGGAAGGTATAAGGGACTCATGATTCATCTTAGAACCTTTTTATTGGTCCCATGGTGGACACTGATGTTTTGATCCCAAGTCTGTAGAGTGACATCATTAGGGTCAATCACCCCTCATTCAAGATATTGTTCACTTTGGATATTGGAGATCTATCATGATTATATCCTTAAAAGGCACCTCAGAGGGTGAAAGGAGGAAATAATATTTAAATTGGCTTAGACCTCAACTCCTAAGCGATGTGAGACTATTGGATGTGGAAGGAACATAAGCCCCCTAGTCAATTGGAGTGGTCAATCAAATGATGAGGGATGATTAACCTTAACGATGTCACTCAAGAGGGTTGGAATTGGAACATATGATCTTATCGGAATCTTGAGCGTGGATATGTGGACTGGTGATGAGATCCTAGCAGTGGCTTGAATGCTCTTGATGGTCAGGATGAAAAACCCTTGCTGCTTAGAGGAGGCAGATCCACCTAAACAAGACTCTTTGATGCTTAAATTAGTAAGAAAGTTTAGATCTTTGTGAATATTAATAAGTATGAGTGATTATCAAGTGAGTATTCCCTAGGAAATATTGGTTATATTTATAGGATTAGCATGGGTCATGGACATATGTTCTCATTGAAATAATACTTACCTTAAGTATATAATAACAAAATGACACCTGATCATAAATCATAACCATAATAGAAAACTACCGAGATTACATATGATATGTGGATAATGGCCGAACAAACGTAGGTTTAAGCTGCTTCATAATGAAGACGCTTAATAGACATTGTTGAGTCATGCTCTTTAGTATGTCTATTGGGTTGGGTAAGAACATAAGCCCCCCAATCTCGGTAGTTTGATTTGGCGTATTTGATCGTGTTCAATCACTTGGTTGGACTTGAGCCAACTTGTATAGTTTATAGGTGGATTGACTGTTCGACCGAGCTCACATGTAGATTGGTCATTCAGCTGATCTTGTAGGTAGATTTGTTATTCAGTCGATCTCATAGGGAGACTGGTCATTCGACAAAGCTTGCATGTAGATTGGTCATTCGACTGAGCTTTTAGGGAGAATAGTGATCCAATCAAGCTTTTTGAAAGCCCCATTTATAGATCAAAATTCAATTAAGCTAGCATGTAGATTGGTCATCTAGTCGAACTCGTAAGGGGACTAGCCATTAGACCAAGGTGACTTTAATTAGGCAGCCTTTATGGTAGGCTATCGACTTGGATAAACTCTATTAAGTGATGCTGACTTTAGGTAGTTTCTGCTTTCGTGCTGTCGTCTTTCAGTAAACTTTGTCTTGATGCTATCGACTTCGAGAAGGTTTCACTTTTACGCTGGTCTTCGAGAAGGGTTCACTTTAGCATTGCTAACTTTGGGTAGGTTCCACTTTGATGTTGCCATCTTTGGATAGGATTCTCTTTGATGCTGCCAAATGTACGAAAGCTTTGCTTTGATGATGTCAACTTCAAGCAATTTTCACTTTGATGTTGTCATCTTCGGGCAGGTTGGCTTTGTTTTAGCGCTACTAACTTCGAGTAGGTTTCACTTTAATGCTTTCAACTTCGTTCTTCAACAATTTTCCAACATTGTTTCTTATTTTGGCCGAGCTGACAAAGACTTAATACTTGCTTTTATATTGGATTTCATTCTTCGTTGTTACTTCACTTCGAGCGTCCTGTTTGAGCATTCTTTTTGCCACAATTCTTCAAGTCCTATTTTAAACTTGTCCTCTTGTTTTTTGTCATCTTTTTCGAATTCACCTACTGTTGAAGGAAGTGAAGGTGGCCTAGGTGAAGATCATGATGGAAAGCCTAATCGACTTGTGTATGGAGGTCAGCCAAAAGTTGACGAGCAAAGGTGACCTGACTGAAAGGGACCGAAGAGGAGTTCAAGGCTTTTCAAGTGAAGGCGGTTGAGGTGAAGATCGAGTGAGACAACTTGGTCGACTTTTTTACTAAGGTCGGTCAAAAGTTGAAATGTTGAGACCTGGAGTTGGCACAAAATTCCAACTGTGTTGTTTAGCTAACCTCTGAACTGCAACAACCAAGGGACGTAAAGACAACCTTGACAATAGAGGTTGAAAAGGCCAACGAGTGTTGGGACTCTTTAGGAGAAGGTTGATATTGTGAGTTTGGATGAGGAGAATACCAACTTTATGACTGGCGAGCTAGCGGCCTATGCTAAGAGTTTTTAGAAGGCAAAGAAGCAGGCTCCCTTCTTTAGTCCTAGTTTGGACTTGGGGTAGGGGATAACTCATGTACTCTGGTATTGGAGTGTTGAGTTGCTTTTTGTTCTCAGGCACTGAGCTATTCTTATACTCAGGTACTAGTAAATCAAGCTTCTCTTGTACTCTGGTGTTGGGATGTCGAGTTTCTCTTATACTCGGTCTAATACTTTGAATTGTCTGCTTATACTCAAATAACTTAATGTTTCTTCTTCTATTTTTTTTGAGTGACTTGATGTCTTGCCTCGCCTAGAGGGCTTTTAGTTGGTGAAGTAGCTTAGTGCCTTGTCTAAAGGTGACTTGGTGAAGTAGTTCGATTTTCTTGGTGAAGTAGTGCAATCTGATGCCTTAGGGCTTTTTTTATGGAAGTTATTTGGTGAAGTAGCTTGATTTACTTGTTGAAATAGCCTGATGTCTCGCCTGGAGTTCTTGTGGTGCCTTGCTTGGGGGGCTTTTGGTGCCTATCTTGAGCATGGAGGGCTTTTGGTGCTTTAACTGGATGGTTTTTACTGTCTTGCTTAAAGGGCTTTGGTGCCTCACATGGAGGGCTTTTGGTGTCTCAAATGGAGGGCTTTTAGTGCCTTGCATGGAGGGCTTTTGGTGCTTCATGTGGAGGGCTTTTGGTTCCTCGCTCAAAGGGATTTTAGTGTCTTACTTAGAGGCTTTCGGTGCCTTGCTTGGAGGGCTTTTATACATGTTAGAATCTCGTAACTTAAGTGTCTCGTTTGAGGGCTTTAGTTTCACTTTTGTGGGATTTTTTTCATGTTACAATCTGGTAACTTGGGTGCCTCATTAAAGGGCTTATAATGCCACGTTCGTAGGCTTTATGTGCTACCCGAGTAGGCTTTCTAATAGTGGATGTTTGTCCTTGTATTTTTGCAAGAGAAGCCTAGGGAAGGAAGCCCTCATTGCTTATTGTCTTTCTTGTTCTAGCAAGTTTTTTCGTCCTTCAAATATCTTTGTTTTTTCTTATATTCTTTATGGTTATTTTTGCAAAGTTATGCAGTGTGTGATTGTAGTTGTGGAATTACTAGTCAGTAGGCATTGTTAGCATAAAGGGGTAGAAGCGAATGACAAAAGAAATCATGGAGGACAAAAACAAAGTTTTTGGGAACATATTGTTTAGTTATCTCTTTGGATATTTGTCTTTTTGTTATCTTAATCATTTTATCAGTGGATGTTTGTCCTCACACTCATTTACACTTTGAAGCTACTTAAGGCGACCTTGGAGATTAGGTTTCCATTACGTTCTTTCTTGAATCTGAGTATTGTAACGCTGGGTTGGTGTTGCTTTTGTACTCGGATATTGCAATTGCCAAGTTTACTATTGTACTCCAGCATTGGAACGCCGAGTTGTTCCAATGCTTGTTCAATTCTTCCTATGCTTGTTCAATTAAAAATAATTCTAATGTTTAAGCAATGCAGATTCTGATGTTCGGCTTTCAAGAAGAATGCAACGTCTTGCTATTGATCGTGGAAGGAATGTTGAAAATGTGCTAGATCAAGTACGTAATCTTAATCTCTAGTCCTTGTTATCATCAATAATTGTTTGAATTCTCTCTATAGTGTTAAGTTTTGTAACATTTTTTCTTATTTTCATAGAACAATAAATATTTAATTTTTTATTTATTTTTAATTAAATATTATTTTTAGCTAGAAGTTGTATGATATTAACATTTTCTCATACTTTATCGATTTCTAATTTTTATTTTAAAGTTTTAGTGTATTTACTTTGTTTTCAAAATATACTATTTTTTTATTTTAAAATACATTATTAAAATATTTTAACATATAAAAATAAGTTTATTTTAAAGACATAGAGAGAAAATCTAACTTAGCATTTGATATGATTTTCCACTTTCAATCATTTTCAGACACTATTTCCCTATATGAATTTCTAAAAGTTAAACCACCTTCTTTTCCTTCTTTTACTAAACCAAGCAAGCATAAGTAAATAAGGCTGTGTATGGGAGTAACAAAATCTAGAAAAAAGAAGATATTTACATTATTTCTGTGTTTGAAACTGAGTGATTTTATACATCAAATGTTTATAGCTTTTTCTTCTAATTTAAAAATGTTTTGTTTGATTAATGAAAAAAAATCATATTTCAGTATTCAAAATTTGTAAAGCCTAGCTTTGAAGATTTTGTGCTGCCAACAAAAAAATATGCTGATATTATT